ATACCGATTCCATGAATCAGGCTTTAGCACGCTCCCTCGCTCGCTGTCGATCTGAAACATTTAAAATTAGAAAATTGAATACATAGGTTGATGATTTCTTTATTTTCCCTGCCCATCCTTTACACAATCCAACATTGCCTGCTCGCCCCGTAATATTTTTGCCGCATTCCTACCTAGGCTTTCATTATGGCTGTGCTGCCATAATGTCCATCATGTAAATAATTTAGTTCGAAGCTCAGGATTTGGTGCTCATGAATCCTATTTGGAATGCCTACATCCTCCGTTTAAAATCATGGAGCGCTGAAGTGCGTATTTGACCTAAAAAATGCAAGGCTTCTATTGGGGTTTCCGAAAGTTGTGCGTTTTTTGAACACTGCTTATTGAGCATTTAGCTGAAAAACAAGCAAAATTTATCAACAATATCTACACCTGCATTGGCAGTTATTTTTTGCAGAACATTGACCGATGAGTCAATGTCTTGCTCCACGAAGGATCGGTGGTTGCGAGGTGAAAAAGGACGCGGAGCCGATTCAAGGATCCTCTGGCAAACACTTTTTGTTCATAAAATGGTTAGTGAGTAGCAAGACTGTTAGCATTCAGAAGAGCTTGCTAAGCGCACCACGCTGGATAGATAGAACTTTTGGATGCGTTGCAGTTCTTCTCTTCAGGTCAGGTCACCTAAAATTGAGACACCACTCATTTGCTCGAAGCAAGCTTAGGACTAAGCCTAGGCCCAATCATAGGCTTAAGCATAAGCCAATGTGTAAGCATAAGCCTCAACCTAACCCTAAACCCAAGCTTAACCTTAGGTTTCAACGATAGCGCAGCTCTGGTTACCCGAGCTCCAACGCCTACCCTCCAGTTGTAGAGACAGTTGTTGAAATTTCACCATCATCTTCGATACTAATTACAGTAGACTTGGATAACAAGGTGGCAGCATGGAGGGAGAAGTCTTCAGGTCAACTTGCGAATACGCCCACTTCCACCCCCCCCCCTCCATCAGACGGGCAACATGACCCTTTCCCGAGTTTGTTGACGTTCATGTTCTTCGGCTTATGGTTGATATAGAGCTTCCACTCGTTGCAGTCACGAAGTTGTTCCGCTGTACGGATAGATTAACACATTGACGACAACGCGGGGGATATATATCCCGCGCATTGCAGGCCATGTCGGACCGTGCGGGATATATATCCCCCGCACCCATTACACTCATTTTTTTCGCGCACGCCTGATTCTTTTAGAAGTTTCTTGTATTTATTCCATGGAAGAGACCTTGACGTAGCTACAAACATAGTGGCCCATAGAATGGTCACGTATGCTTCAATTTAGAGGAGGATTTCTGAACCATACGAAATCTTCAGTTTAATAAATTTTTCGTTTACTTTTTCTTTTTTTGAATGTGAAGATTTAAATAGTAGTAGAATAGGCCAAAACTCGCGTTTTCGTCAACGTGTTAAGTTTACTTAGGGGTGAGGGAGCATTTGGTAAAGTACACAAGAGAAGCCTGGGTAACTCAGATTTTCAACCGCTTAGCAAGGGGAAAGCTCTGGAATGCGCGACACATCTCCGAAAACGTTTCTTCTTTCTTCACCCATCCTAGAATTTCTTCCTTCTCACGAACTGTTGCAGCTCAACTGCATGAGCGCATAGTCGGTAGTCCGATCGTAACGATCGTAACGGCCGCACACCATGGGTGTGGTTCACTAGGACGGAAAGCTCTTTTTCGCATTTCCCAGCGCGAAACATTCTCCATTTCGGAACCCCGGGTCTACAGTCGATATCTCGAAGTCTGATTGGGCGTGTCACCGGAAATGACGTGGCAGCCACCGCACTTGATAGATGTTGTGTGGATAAAATACTCCGCCAGATATCAGCAAAGCGTGTTGGAAGCAGCTTATCCGCGCAACTTCTATCAAGTGCGGTGGCTGCCACGTCATTTCCGGTGACACATGTGGACTGTACGTACCCTCGCCTTCAAATGACCAGAAATTGTGCAATTGCAGAAATTGACGTGGCATTAACGTGGCATCGATTCAAGAACATCTTTGAGCACACGTGACGTCACCTTTTCATCGAGAATTTAGCCACGTGTGCCACGTGGATTTCTGGCTGCATGAAACAGAGTGTATGTAACGCTTCGCGACCGTCCAGATCGTTACGATCTGGCGACCGGCTATGCATGCGCTCTACGCGACTTCGTCGTCCTTGCACTGATTTTCTGGGCGTGCAATTAATGGTGGTGGTCGTAAATGCACGGGAAACACTTTATTAGACATGACTCGTGTCGAAACGCCATCTGTCTCTTATCCTTTGTAATCGTCGGTCTTCCTTTTAATGGGTATTGCTGTTGTGAGAGGTTTTCGTGTGTTATCACTTTGCAAGTTTAGGTTATCAAGGCTATGGTACAGAGTTGCTCATAAATATTTCGCTTTCTGCTTTCGCGCTTCGCAATGGCAAACCTCGGATCATGTGTCTTGAAGCATAGCTCAATTGAGAGTTTAAACGAAGCAAGTGAGCTACCTAAGGAGACGATTGCAAGATTGAAGAATTTATCCTCGGAAAAGTAAGTTTCCTATTTCTAATTAACGAGTTCTGCTCATAAAATCCTTTTTCGTAGAACGCGAGATCTCCGACAACCCTGCTTTCTTGATTGTTATATAAGATCACATCTGTAGAAGTCTTTTTTTTTCCAAGGCTTCCTGCGTTGGAATAGCACATCCCTTCGACTAAGTTTGTGCGTAGCGTCATCAAGCGCCCCTTCCTTGCACATACCAGACTGGGTCCAGCCTACAGCGCCGGTTTTCCAACTCTTTCTGCATATACTACGTGATCTTTGCACGTTTGCACCTCCTTGTGAATTTAACGCCTTTTGAGATGTAGCTATGAAGGGGCTAATTTGAAATAAAAACTGCATGACACTTAGCCATCAAATCTGGAAGAAGATTTGTGGACGAAAGAGCAACAGCTGGAGAGGCCGACACAGTAAATAGCTGAGTGCCGTTTGGCCGACTTAGGGCGATTTGACGACAATTAAAGATAGAGGGGCGTTAGGGTCCTAATCATTCGCATTCACTCCGAATTCGCGTACTGCCTAGGTGCTACTTAGTTGGTTTTTTTTTTTTTTTTTTTTTTTTTTTTGTTTTTATTTTTTTTTTTTTTTTTTTTTTGTCGGGGGGCAGCGGGCCAGGCGCGGCAGTCTGCTCACCTGGGCCCTCTCGAGCGAGACAGTGTAAACTCGAACATTCCAGCTTTTCACGCATGTCAAGTGAGTGCCCCCTGCCCACCAACCCCTAGGCTGGCTACACTCCCCCCTGGCCCACGGATTTCCGAACATGCCAGACGAGCAGACTGCGCGCCGCGCAGTGACGCCCCCCACTAAGTTGCCCCTTGGCGTACTCGCTTGGTTCGTGTAATGTGGACCAGGGTGTGGTTCACTAGGACAGAAAGCGACTTTTTCGCGTTTCGCAGCGCGAAACATTTTCGCTGCGGGAACCTCAGGTCCACCGCTGATCATCAGTGGACCCGAGGTTCCCGCAGCGAATCATCAGTGGACCCGAGATTCCCGCAACGAACAATGTTTCGCGCTGCGAAACGCGAAAAGTCGCTTTCTGTCCTAATGAACCACACCCTGCAACAATACCTAATCGTAAGTAATAGGCTGGTGTCAGACTCCGCGATCCGTCGCAGGTTCCGCTGATTTGCTCGATTTGCGCGATTCACGGCTCCCCCACTTTCTTCACGATTTGGGGCGCGGCGAGACGAGTCGATAGTGCCCGCGAACTGTGGTGGTGATGCGTTTTCAAATTTACCCACACAGTTCGCGGGCACTATCGACTCGTCCGCGCTCGCCGCGGCCGCGCCTCAAATCGTGAAGAAAGTGGGGGAGCCGCGATTCACGCGACGGGTCACGGAAATCACAAGTGCCCGATCAATACTGCAAGGTGTTCTCCAATCCCGCCGCCACTTCTGCTTGATAGTGATGGCTGAATGACGACTGCTCATGATTCCACTTGTTTCATATTCAGTGTTTCAAATGTTCAAATGGGGCACTTGCAATTTTTGCGATCCGTCGCAGGTTTCGCGCAAATCGCGAAAATCAGCGAAACCTGCGACGGATCGCGGACTCTGACACCAGCCATAGGCTTATATATGGCTAGGACGACGATCTCATCCTCACCACCCCTTTGTTTCTGCAACGCGCCTACACGCAGTCGTGCTGCCTCTGCATGCTAGGCGAGTAGCACAAGCAGAAAGGAGAACGTGATTGTGGTTGGGAGCGTGGTAATCACAATGTGTTCACCATAATGTTATTACAAACAAGTAGGATAAGAAAAAACAAATGGCGAATGCTCCAACGTTTTTGAATTGAGTAGCTTTAATATTACAGAATGTTTTCATCGATCGAGAAGACAATACAGGAGGCACGTTTAGCTAGAGGGGATATTGAAAAGCAGTATACTCTCTACTACCGATGTGCACAGTTGGCAAAACTGATTTACAAGCAAAATGACTTTGCGAAATTCAAAGCTGAGGTCAGATTGATTTCGCTTTCGTGCTTAACTATTGACTATTCTGTCATAACGATATTTGCAGCGAGGAGCGATTTTTGGTCTGCGATTCAAGGAGGCCCTTGATGAGGCGGATAACCTTAAGACTATACTCAACAAGAAGTACGAGGAGAAAATGCTTAGAGCATCACAAGACGCTTCGACCGAAGTACGAGTGCTAAAGAATATGGATAATGCAATTACTGCCGAGGGAGGTGCGCAAATCTTTTTTTTTTGATGCACCCATTGCATTCTTAATTCATTTCTTTTACATTCGCTCCACATGCGACGTTGTTTTTCATTATAATTTCCTGAATAGAAACCAACGTCAACCAAGCCTCGTTTCTCTGGAATTTGTCTCTGATTGATTTTTCGGGAACAGCTGTCAGATTTGTGGATTTCACCATACTTTCGGGAGTTTTCCTGTTTTGTCTCCACTGGAAGAGATCCTGTGTGCTATTAGCCCTTGGAATGGGGGGGGGGGGTGGGTTCGTTGCTGAATTCCGTCGAGCTCATTGACTCGCCTGGTGGAAATACCGAGAGGCATTTGGTGCAAAGGCTGTGGTGCGGAAATCTTGGTAGAAAAGAAGTTTCAATTATATTTTCCGGAACACCAAATTCTAACTATGTTTAGTTTGAGGGATAATTTTCACGTCAAAGTTAGTCTTGAACTTGTAGAATCTTCAGTATTCGTGAGTCATTTGAATGAAGGCTCTTCTTAATTTCCAGAACTTCGACCTTCCTCCAGCGTTTTAATAAGCCCAAAGGAATTGGTTCGAATGATTGAGCACGCACAGCCAAAAAAGACTGCCGTCATTGTCGATTTTCGGAAGGACAAATCAGAAGTTATCAACTATAAACATGGACATTTCATCACTGTGGTGTCCGTACCATACGACGTGATTGTCACAGGGTACGCTTTTCCCTGAATTACCCCTTCAGCTCCCTTCTGGTTTTCAACATCGCTTCCGTTCTCTTGTCCATATGAAACCTTTTGGCTGAACAAAGTGATAGCGTAGGGTGCAGAAATAGAAGCTTCACATGTGTTCACGTGTTGAATTTCCGTACCCGCTTTTTTTGGCGACTAAAGAATCGAGCGGTCGAATGTGAAATGTGAAGAGTGGGCTAGTGGCTCCATTCACTCACAGAATCCTCTCCTCTTCTCGTCCACACCTTCACTGTATTTTTCAAAGTGGTTCTTGGCATTTGAGACAGTCATAACAATAGCTCTCTTTTGTTTGGTCTTACTTACTTGGCACTTCATCACGATTCAATTTTCGCTAAGGCTTGTCATGACCACCGTACTAAATAGTTTCAAGTGACTGATTTTTTTGCCCTACTCTCAAACTTACTGACAGTGTAGTCATGCCGTATGGGTCGTGAAAGCAGAAAATTCTCTCATGCAATACAAGTTGTTTAGCTTGATATTTACTTCGCTACGAAATCAGCTGGAAGTTGGCCAGCGACCTCTTCTTCATCGTATAGGATCGTGCGATCTTGTGATACTAATGAGCGACGCTGATGTTGAGCTCAGAAATGGGCAGCCAGTGCGTGGATCAAAAGCTCATTTACTCTCCATGGCTTTGTATGAGGTTTGGTTTTTGAAACAGTTTTCAAAAGTGGTAATTGCAAGTTGGAGTTCCAAATGGTTTCCATGTTTAGTACAACCATGAACACAGACCGAAGTCCCCGTTGCTCTTCATGGATGGTGGATTCGATAACTGGCGGGATCAGTATCAGTGTATACCAAAAGTGACGGTACTTTGAAAAGAAACGAACCCAAAGATCAATTGGATCAAATGGTCATAAACTACAAGAGGGGTAAATTTTCTACAAAATTAGAAAATACAGTTTGGTTCTGATATCGGAGATTTTAGCCTGTTTGATGTTGGACTACCCTGACCTGTCAGCCACCGACGTCCATCCTCTCAACAGCCTCGCGTTACGACGGCGGTCAATGGCGTAGTTCCTGCTGATATACAAAACCAGCCATTGAAACACGTACCAAACACTATGAAAAGAGCTGAGGACGGCGGATGGTGAGTTCTGGGTTAACATTCGAGTTTTTCTCCTCAGGGACAGGCGAGTTAAAACTCATGCATATCGCTCGCAGCGATATAGCGTTCACGGCGAAGCATATGGACTGCCTATTCTTCAAATTCACTCAAATTTTTCCTCTGAGTAATTGAAGGCATTCGCCTATGAACCTAGTTGAATGATGGTGACGCGCCAACTCCACCCTTACCATAGGCCATGTTCATAGTCCACGAGGGCGGGGAGGGGGTTAAGAGATTCTCAGATTGTGATAGTAGATATCCCGTTGAAGACGAGACATCCTTTGTCGGAGAGTTGTGGATTAGTAGAGTGGAATAGTATGATAGTAGCAGCTTCAGAGGAATAGGTTACGATAGGTAGGAGATGGCGCTGAAATGATTAGATATACCTTGATTGATTCGGCTGATGGCACCTGATTTTCTAATTTCTCACCTTTATCAGCACGTATCTAATCTTCGCAGCTGAATATACTAATATCTAATATTCGTACCGGATCTTTGAAAAAGCTTGAATGCATATCACCTGATGGTCGATGAGTACGTTTCGTGGGTGATAAGATAATGTTTAAATACAAGAACGTGTGATTGACAAAATTAGCGTGTCTTTTTTCATGAATTCTTACTCGTTCCGTTTTCGGCTTCATGATTTTCTTATCCCATAGTTCTCCTGATCATAGCTTTTCCTTCTTTTCGCACTTTCTGACGCTTTCAAAATGCTGAATATCAACGCACTCGTTGATATTTATCATTTTGAGAGTGTCGGAAAGTGCGATTACGACAGAAATTTGTCTTTTTCGCAGTGCAAAGCGCTAAGCGTATGGAAACAACCTTCTCTGCTCATGACTCGGCAGTATCCACATCGTCTGTCAAGGAGGCACCGTCAGCACCTCAGAGTAGTGCTGCTGGTGAGTAGCAAAGTCTATTTTGTTAATGTAATTTCTCTTATCTACCAGTAATACTCTTAATTACTCAATCTTGTTCTTTATTGTTTCAGCGTCATCAGTTACGGTGTCTCCAAAAGCTGCAGGTGACGGTGATATGTCAGCGATTACCTCACCCCCACTCTCTACTAACCAAAAGAGCACAGGTATAGGGAATATGTTTCTCTGAAGAGGGGTGCAATCAAACTTTGGCTTGATTCAGGTCCCGTAGCTCCCACACAGCAGGCACCTTCACGGCTGTCACCTGTTGAAACTTCCAAGCATGATCCAGGTGTGGCACAGCCAGTTGCTTCTGGTAAATTTTACTGAATTTGTTAGGTTTGCCCTACTTTGTAGTAAAGGAATTCATATATAGGATATCATCCATCAGTATCTGTTGGGCCACCTCCATCGGTACCTCCTCGGCTGCCTATGGTTGATAGATCGAACAAACCAAATCAGGTAAACTTGTTGAATGGTGATGTGCTCGTTGTTCTCCTGCTATTCAATCTCAATCATTTCAAAGTCTGAGCAGTTTTTTGCGTATTTTTTCTCTGTAAAAGGTAAAGTTTATTCGTCTCAGAGCGTCAGTAAATCTTCCTAAATTTCCAATTTGTTATTTTTGATTTTATCAATCAAATGAATGAATTCTAGCATTACGATGCCGCTCAAGAGAGTAGAATAGAAGCTGTTCGTATTGCTCCTGTATCGAAAACGTGAGTTAGCTCCTCGCAATTGTTCGTTGCTATTGTTTTGTATTTCAACGAGCTTAACATGTCAATAAGTGTGGAAGTGTTGATTATTGATTTGGGATTGATAGAGTTGGCAGCCGATATTCATTTTATAGTCATTTCTTAGAATACACGGTTCATGTATGCGTGCTTTTTCAACCTCTCCCGGCTGACCAACTTTATTTACTCTCTAAGAGCTATGACTTCTAGGTTAGTTTAAGAATATTTTAGCAAATTTCTTTTCAGTAATGCTCATCCTTCACAACCTCGACTTCCTGATCGTAGTACTAAACCTGTTCTAGTAAGGTATGAGTAAAATGAATAGTTCAATGTTCCGTGTGGTGAATTCGATGTATGGATGATGTTTTTGAGATTCTGTGTTTCCTTGTTCTTTCG